GCGCGGGGTTACATGTAATAACTTTTTCCATATCTTTTCTCTCAGTCTGTTACATATGTCTTTACTAATGAGTTTTTTATTTATTATTTTTTTTTGGAGAGATTTTTGCTATAGGGCACATGCGTTTGCCAGACAGAGAGAGACAGAAAGCGAGAAACCACCCCCAGGGGGGATGGTCACGCCACACTCCGTTCTCCTCCATTCTCCTCTTGGGATCTTGGGCATGTAGGCACACGCACCCGGCATGAGTTTTAAGCCACTGGGTCCAGGACGCAAACCTCGGTGGACTACATGGGAGTCCAGCAACATAGCCATTACGCTAACTGCTATACCCACTAATGAGTTTTTTGGAAGCAGCATATATTGGGGTCTTTTGAAAAAGTCCATTCAGCCAGTTGTATGTTTCAAATGCTTAATTTAATCCATTTACATTCAAGGTTGCTACTGATGGCTGTGAACTTGATACTGTCATTTCATTGATTATCTGCTAGTTGTTTTGTGTTTCTTTCGTTCCTTTTTTTCTCCTTTATTGCATATCTTTGGGGTTTGGTGATTTTGTATATGACAAGGTTTGTTCCCTTTATCATTTCCATGAGTGTTCACCAATGAGCTATACTTTTGCATATGACTTTAAGAGGTTTTTGCTATAGGGTGTGTGCGCTCGCCAGACAGACAGAGACAGAGAGACAGAAAGTGAGAAATCACCCACCAGGGGGGATGGTCACGCCGCAATCCCTTCTCCTCCATTCTCCTCTCAGGATCTTGGGCACTCACGCACATGCACCTGGTGTGAGTTTTAAGCCACCGGGTCCGGGATGCGAACCACGGTTGACTACATGGGAGTCCAGCGACATAGCCACTACGCTAACTGCTGGTCCCCATATAACTTTTTTATAACTAAAAATGTATTTAACTTGGATTTGTGATTGTACAGAACTTATTTTATACTACACATTTTATTAACTTAGTTATTACTTTGTACAATGTAGTCACAAATATAGACTTTTGCTGAGTATTTGTGAAGTGAAGATAGATATAGTAGTAAGGGGAAGTGAAAAGTAAAATTTTATGCCTTCTTAAGGGAAAAAATACATGAATTGAAATCACGTTCAATCAGTCTGTGGTGATTTTCCTACTCCTATGACTGGCAGATTTAGAAGATAAAAAATATATGTATGAAATAAAAACAAATATTCCCCTCTTTTATCCTTATACAGACTTGTAGAGATGTTAAATGAACACAAGATGTATTAGGGAGGAAAAGTTAAATATTTAAGGTTATTTTTGTCATAAAAAGGAAAGTGTTCATAATGTGGTCTAAAAAAATAATTGTTTGTTTGTTTCTTTAGGATGGATTGGATGCTTTGGTATATGATTTGGATTTTCCTGCCTTAAGAAAAAACAAAAATATTGACAACTTTTTAAGCAGATGTAAGTAATTTATATGGAAGTTATTGATAGACTGCCTATGATTACATCTTAATTTAAGCCCTTCTTTTTTTCTTTTATTAGTTTTGCTCTCCTATTACTTTGTGGTTATTTTGTTAATAATTCCTGCAGAAAATTAGTAGAAAATCTGAAAGAAACATTATTAGCCAGTTTGTGTTGCATTTTAGAAAGTCTGCAAAATAGTTTGCAGGAAGGTGTTGAAAAATGAATAGCTTAAGTAAATATGTTAAAAAGTATACATGTGCAAGCATGCATATTAAGTTTTAATAATGTATTTGTCTCCTATTTTTAAAAATGAGTTGTAGTTTAAAACTAATGAGTTATATTTTAAAAACCTCCAGATAAGAATAGCTTGCATATGAAAATTCCTCCATTTTCAAGATATAAAAGCTGTTTTATTCATTTATTTTTAAATAGATTTATTCATTTTCTTCCACGAACAAGATAAGAGAGAGAGACAGACAGACACAGATAGCTACCCTTAATAATGCCTTCATGCCACAATTGACCCCTAGCCTCCACCCCTGGATCATAGGCACACATACATCATGTTTTCAGGAATGTTTCTGGATGCTAACTTGTAACCTTCCTATGTGGGTCAGCGTCTCAGAACATTGGTCCTGCTACACCACTGTCCAAACCTCATGGAAGCTATTTTACATTTAAGTTCTTTGGATATTCTTTTTTTAGTTTTTTGCCGTAGAGTTAAATTTTACAGATGTTCTTTTCCTTTTTAGACTTTTACCATAGAGTTTGTGCACTTACTGGAGAGAGACAGAGAGAAGGAAAGTGAGAAATTACCCTCCCAGAATCATGGTCACTCTGCAGTCCTTTCTCCCCCATTCTCCTCTTAGGATTTTGGGCACACACACACATGTTCCTGGCGTGTTTTTCAAGCTACCAGGTCCATGATTTGGACCACAGAGTCAACCATGTGGGGTCAAGTGCCTTAAGCACTGCAGCACCTGCTGACATACCATCTCCCCTTTTAAATAGAGGAGTGTGCATGTACACATGCAGGAGAGAGAGAGAAGCTTCCTCAGATAGGATCTTTTACTGCTTTCCCCTTTCCTCACTCCTCCAGCTTGTCAGAATCTTGAGCATGCACTCTTACCTCTGGTGTGTTTCAAGTCTACCAGGTAAAAATATGACTTCTAACACTGTAGCTCAGCAAGCTGATGATTGTGCCAACAAGCTAGCCTAGATTTTTTTTTTCCTAAAAATTTGTTTTTGGATTTTTATATTATTTTAAATTTCGAATAAATAACTTATTAAAACAGTTTTAAACTTGACACATCTGTAGAAGGGCCATTGTACGTCTGACCCAGGGATGTTATCTGGCTTTACATATCTACATACTATCCTCTTGTTGTGGTAGTACCCATCTGCAGACATGATCTTCAGGAACATGCCCCAGGCATCCTCTTTCTCCACACAGCCATGCTTTGTGATGTGGCCCAGTTCTCCCCTGCTGTTGTACTCTGATATATGCAGGACTTCTGGTATGTTGACCAGCTCGAGGCCTTGGATATCTGGGTGCCACAGGGTCATCAGTATATTAGTCTCTGCAGAATGACTAGATACTGGAGCTATGTGGACCTTCTTCTGGATGATTTTGACAGCTACCTGGGTCCTGGTTGAAACTTGAGAAGCCAACTTGACTGTGGCTGTGACACCATCACCAGTAGTTTCTGTTTAGCTTGTATTGTTTAGTACAAATTTCCTAATTTACAGAGTTGACTATGTAGTCCTACTCCTTGGTAACAACCTATCTATTCTAACTAGCAGTATTTGTAATGCTAGCTAGCACTATAGACTATACTATGCTCAGTAGCAATAGTAATGAATATCAACTACAATAACTAGTCCAATACTAATAATACTGACTACACTAATAATACTACTTAAGGATACAAATGAAAATACTAACTGAATTGACCTCAAGATATTTTACAGAGCTGTGATAACCAAAACAGCCTTGAACTGGCAGAAGAACAGGCAGGTAGGCCAATGGAACAGAATAGAAAGCCCAGAAATAAACCCCAAAACATATAGCCAACTGCCCTTCGATGAAGGATATGAGACAGTCAGTGGAGAAAACAAAGTCTCTTCAGCAAGTGGTGCCAGAAAAACTGGATATCCACTTGCAGAAAAATGAAACTAGACCCTTGTCTCTCACCATTAACAAATTCGGCTCAAAATGGATCAAAATCTAAACATGAAGACTCAAACTATATAACTGCTGGTGGAAAAAGGGGGAAACTCTTCAGGACATTTGAAGAGGCAAAGATTTCTTAAATAAGACCCTTAAAGCACAGGCAGAAATCCTCAAAATAGACAAATGGGATTACATCAGGCTGAAAAGCTTCTGCACAGCAAAAGAAGCAGTAATCATAGTGAAGAAACAAACCTCATAATGGGAGAGAATATTTGCAAACTGCTTCAAATAAGCAGCTGATAACCAGAATATACAGGGCACTCAAGCAGTTAACCCACGATAAAAGAAAAAGAAAAAAATTCAGTTACAAAGTGGCAAACAAGCTGTACAGATGACAGACAACTTTTTAAGGAAGATATAAGAATGACCAAAAGGCATTTGAAAAAAAAAAATTCAACCTCTCTTATCATAAGGGAAATGCAGATCAAAACCACAACGAAATATCATTTAGTCCCAGTCAGAGTGGCTACGATCAAAAAAAAAATAACAAGTGCTTGCAAAGCTGTGGCGAAGGGGGAACCCTCCTACATTGTTGGTGCGAATGTACAGCCACTGTGCAGAACAATATGGAGGTTCCTCAAAGACCTACAACTAGAACTCCCATATGACTCAGTAATACCACTCCTGGGTATGCATCTTAGGATAGGAAAACACTCAGTTGGAAAGATAAATTTATTGCAGCATTATTCACAATTGCTGAGACATGAAATGAACCTAAGTGCCCAGGAATGAATGAGTGGATTGAAAAAATATGGCACATATATACTATGGGATAGTACTCAGCCATAAAAAACAATGACATCTTGTCATTTGATACAGAGTAGATGAATATGGAAGATTTAATGCTAAGCAAAGCAAGACCAGACTGATAGACTGACTTTGTATGTCCCTGCTCAATATATACAGAATGTGTACACTTTATGGCAGAAACTGAAAGATAAGATATCATTGCAGAGACAGGTATAAATAGCATAGACTATATGGGGGAGTGTGGAACAGTTGGGGTAGGGGAGAGGGACGCAGGAAAAAAAAAGACATTTTACAGATATAAGAATGGAAAGTTACTAGTACAGTAATATCTTTGACTTGCTTGACATGCAATGCATTTATGCTTTGAGAGCCCCTATCGTATGCTATAAAAAGGTACCATGATTAAAGGTAAATAAAAAAATAAAACACAGGGACCAGCAGTTAGCGTAATGGCTATGTTGCTGAACTCCCACATAGTCGACCGCGGTTCGTGTCCCGGACCCGGTGGCTTAAAACTCACGCCGGGCGCATGTGCGTGCGTGCCCAAGATCCCGAGAGGAGAATGGAGGAGAAAGGATTGTGGCTCCTACCTCATATCATATACATAAAATTAACTTTAAATGTAAGAATTGAAACTACAAAACTCTTAGAAGAAAGCATTGGCATAAATCCTCATGATTTTGGATTAGGCAAATTCTTTTTTTTTTTCTTTCAAGAGAGATTTTTACTATAGGGCCCGTGCACTTGCCAGAGAGACAAAGACACAGAGACAGAAAGTGAGAAATCTCCCCTCAGGGGGATAGCCACTCCGGAATCCCTCCCCCTCCATTCTTCTCTCAAGATCTTGAGCATGCATGCATTTCCAGTGTGAATTTTAAGCTGCTCGGTCTGAGACTTGCACCCCGTGGTCAGCTACATGGGAGTCAAAGAAATGCAACCATTATGCCATCTTCTGGTCCCAGGATTAGGCAGTTTCTTAACTGTAACACGGTTACAAAACAACAACAACAAAAAATAGAATATCAACAACAAAATAGAACATCATCGGGAACCAGCAGTTAGCGTAATGGCTATGTCGCTGGACTCCCACGTAGTCGACCGCGGTTCGTGTCCCGGACCCGGTGGCTTAAAACTCACGCCGGGCGCGTGTGCGTGCGTGCCCAAGATCCCGAGAGGAGAATGGAGGAGAAGGGATTGCGGCGTGACCATCCCCCCTGGGGGGTGATTTCTCGCTTTCTGTCTCTATGTCTCTCTCTGTCTGTCTGGCGAGCGCACGCGCCCTACAGTGAAAATCTCTCAAAAAAAAAAAAAAGAACATCATCAAAATTTAAAACTTTTGTGCTTCAAAGGATACTCTCAAGAGTGAAAAGAAAATCCACAAAATGGGAAAAAAATGTTAGCATATACTGTATCTAGTAAGGACTGATGCGTGGAATATATAAAAAAGCCCCACCACTCAATAATAAAAAGATAACTGAATTTGAGTCAAAGGATTCACATAAGACATTTCTCCTAAGAAGATACACAAATAGAGGGACCAGCAGTTAGCGTAATGGCTATGTCGCTGGACTCCCATGTAGTTGACCCCGGTTTGCGTCCCAGACCCCGCGGCTTAAACTCACACCGGGTGCATGTGCATGTGTGCTCAAGATCCCGAGAGGAGAATGGAGGAGAAGGGATTGTGGCTTTGCCCTCCCCCCCGGGGGGGGGTGGTGTGGCCTTCCCCCTGGGGGGTGATCTCTCGCTTTCTGTCTCTGTCTGTCTGGCGAGCACATGCGCGCTATAGCAAAAACCTCTTCAAAAAAAAAAGAAAAAGAACATACAGAAGTAGCTAATAAGCACACAAAAAACTGCTCAGCATGATTAATCATTAGGAAGTTGTAGACTGGCCATAATAAGATACCAGTACACATCCGTAAGAATGATTAAGAACTTTTGGGACCAGCAGGTGGTATGGTGGTTAAGGATGCTGGACTCCCACATGGCCAACCATGGTTTGAGTCTCAGACCTGGT